AAGGCACTGCACAATCCTTTCTCCTCACTCCACTTACCAAAGAAACTCACCAATTAAACTTGGCACAGAAGAGTTTCATTATCATAAAGTGCATCACTTGACTATATCAAAAAGAAAGTCAGCCATAATACAGAATGACATCTTCACACATAGAGAAATAAACATGCAATGACAGGAGTCAAGCTAGTTAGGAACTCTGCAGAATATATGGCTTTTTCTCTTTCGCATAACACCATATTTGCTAGAATCTGTAATATATTTCCAAAAGAATATGTCTTGATTAGCACGAAGAGGTAGTGTTCTGAAAGAGGCAAACTCACTGAACCTACTGGGTAGAGATTTAAGATAAAGATTATGTGGAAAATAAATAAGCAATACATGTAAAAAAGCTGGTATGCTTAGAGTATCTTGATTTTAGTGAATCAGTTTTTAAAACCAAGGCTATTTTTGTATCATTTTAGCCATATAATTACCGTTCTTTCAAACGGTCCTTTCCTTTGGTACTAGAAAGTCATCTTATTTTTTAAAATATATCATTACCATTTCAAATAAGCAATTTTTATTTAGAGGTGGTAAACAGGTCAATGTTTAAAACTCAGCTTATCTTTATCTTTACTATGATATTCATTGATTTAAACCACTAATGAAAATATGTCAGAGATACAAATAAATATATACCTCTCAGATAGTAACATGCAACACATTTTTTTTTTTTTTGAGAGGTTTTTGCTATAGGGCGCGTGTGCTCACCAGAAAGACAGAGAGAGACAGAGAGACAGAAAGTGAGAAATCACCCCCCAAGGGGGATGGTCATGCTGCAATCCCTTCTCCTCCATTCTCCTCTCAGGATCTTGGGCACGCACGCACACGCACCCGGTGTTAGTTTAAGCCACCAGGTCTGGGACTCGAACTGTGGCTGTCTACATGGGAGTCCAGCGACATAGCCATTACACTAACTGCTGGTCCCTACATGCAACTAATTTTCATTAGACTAATGTAACTGGTGATTTCACACACACACATACACACACACACACACACACACACACACACAAGTTTGGAACCATATATAGGCAAAATTCCATCATAATTTATGCACAAGATTTAAGAATGTGAGCTTGATACAGAAGTGTAAGAAGATTATTTTTTTTAGTGTAAATACAAGGCTGGATAAAAGATGTTTAAAAGCAGCAGTGAATATATTTCCTATCCCAATAACTTATAAAAAAACCCCTTTCTTTATGTAAACTTTATACATGTGCATTCTTTCTCTTTTCTGTAAAAGCTTCACAGTTCGTTTTTTTCTTTTTAAACAGTATTTGCCACTCTATTCTAAAGGCTGAACCACGGAGATGGAGGGAACTTCTTGTGATTTATTAGTCTTCTTCAGCGTTATATGCAACTTCCGCTACTTCGATCTCTGATATAGTGTTCTCAGGTTCACTAAAACTTAAGTGTGGCTTACTATCAGCTCTGCAAAAAAAAAAAAAAAAAAAAAGAAAAACATATTAGCAAAGTGATTAGATGTATACTATTTTTTTCATTATTACCTTTAAACATCTTTATGGAAAGAATTATTTAAATATTTAATGCAAAAATACTTAATGTGAAAGAATTTTTAAACATTCAATCACAAACCTAATATATTTTAAGTCGTCATTGCTAGGTAACACCTTTGGAGATGTATTTTTTTAACTCTTTCAGTTCTCCAAACTATCACTTACCAATAAAAGTCTAGTTTGTAATTACCTTTACCACTGTAAAACTTGTTCTTATAAATATAGCTCAACCACTACCACTAAAGTATTAACAGCTATGTAGGCTTTATATGCAGTAACAATTCTATGCGCTTTCAAATCTATTATCTTTTCATCATTCCTAATAGATAAGAAGGATGGTTACTATTTCAGAGTCCTACTTTTTTAAATGAAAAAGGGTGATACTGAGAGGGATTAAAACAATTTATCGAGATGTACAAAATTATGAAATTAACTGATTCAGACCCCTCCTTTAATTCAGACAAAGCTCTGAAGTAAGTGATGAGAAAACTTAAAGTCTAATCCAAAGATTCATTTTTTGGGGAGAGTCTAGAATATCTATGGTCTTCCACTTTTTTGCTTAGCAGATTCATGACATGACACTGAGTTCATAAAAAAGTGCTCTGTAGAGTATGAGGCCTAGTCCCTTCCAATTATTCAAATGATTAGGCTAATAAACTAAACATCATATACCTAGATTCTTCATCCAAGACATCCTGATCGATCTCAAGGGCAGAGGACTCCACCTTTAGGATCTGTCCACTTTCTGCTCCTGACACATACAGTGATTCTTCAGGTTCCAAAGATAATGTTCTAAAAGCATGTTACAGTAAGTTATTTTCTACAAATTAAATGTGTATATAGTTATTGTTATGAATACATGTAGTGCTAGCAGTCTTCAGCTGTTACATCTGAATACAGTTACGTGGCTAATAAACAGCTTACTCCAGGAGTCAGCAGAGAAATTAGTGGCTATGATTAGTTTGAAATTAGTTTTAGCACAAATTTAATATACACTGATAAGGCAAACTAGAACTTTCATATGTGAAAAGTTGGCATACATGCCTAGAAACAAAGATACCATTTAAATAGATTAAGATAGAGTAATGCTTATCTTGTTGAACAGCTAAAGACTTATTTTTCTACATTTCCCATCATTCATATTAGCTTTCTAATCAAAGACAAATTTCCCAGTCTATGAGGATATACACTGAGAATCCACAACTTTCAGAATCTGAAGTTTCCTAAATCATACTAAATGTAAAGGGCATTTGGCCCAGAGAATGTATAGTTGAATTAGTCAGACTACATATGAAATGCTCACAAATACCTGATTCTGTTCTCTAAAGTGTCTATATAAAGTTGCTTGTCATGGAGTAGTTTCTTCAGTGATTCCACCTCTTTCTGTTTTTCAAGTAGTTCTTTCTGTAAATGGTAGTTAGTCTCTTCTAAAGTTTCACAGAAAGCCTTAAAAAATACATGCACAAAAAGAATAAAATTACTTATGAGCATCTTTCTCAAAAGCATTAATATGGCATGAGAGAAAATATGTCATCAAAATAGTAGGCATATAACTTGAATGATTGTTCTCTACTCTTTAGGTATTTTTGCTCACTTAGTCCCTATCCACCAGAGGGACTTCTATATACAGCTTTTTCCTTAAGAATTATTTCAGGGGACAGCAGGTGGCATGGTGGTTAAGGGTGCTGGGCTGTGGTTCGAGTCCCAGACCTGGTAGCTTGGTTTATCACTTTCTCTTTTTCTCTTTCTCCCCTCATCTTCCTCTCTTACTCTGTCTTTCTCTGGTCAAATTAAAATAAATAGATAAATAAAATTAAATAAATAAAATAATTCTTAAAAAAAAGAATTATTACAATAGTAAGCTGCATGTTTGAAGTGAATATGTATTATTCCCCTAATGTAGGCTTGGGAAAAAAGAAAAATAAACAATATTTACTGCTTCAGTTTTTACTCTTTATAATCTATTTTTACCCACTTCTACATGATTACACTTAAAAACTCCCATAAAACTACAGCTCCTGACTTTATTTGTACTAGCTTAGTAGATAAATTGCTGTAGCACCTATTCTTTGGCTTGTCCTTGCTTCTCCTACCATTTTCCAGGAGTTCATTTCAAAAGGAAGGGGATGAATTAGTAAACAGAGAGGTCTTTCTCCATTTCGAAGGATCAAGCCAATAGAAATGAAAACACATGTCTACACAAAGTATTCTATGAAGCTGTTCACAGCATTAATCATAATAACACAAAATTAGAAACAACACAGATGTACCTCAAATGGTGACTGTTATACAAAACATAGCATAGGCAAACAGTGGAAAAGCATTCAGTAATAAGGAATGAGATAATGACAGATGCTGTAACATGGAATACCATCAAAATCATGCTAAGTGAAAGAAGTCAGATGTAAAAGAATATACTGTGTACTGTAAATTATGCATGCTGCATACATAGTGTATGTTGTAAACTACAGACATCGCATTGCTTAATGAGAGGGTTGCATTTTGAAAACATCATTAGGTGACTCTGTTATGTGACATTGTAGAGTGTGTTTGCACACCGCCAGGCTGTATGGTATAATATTAAGGGACCACCATCATATCTGCAGTCCATAATTGACCAAAATGTTGTATGTGCCACATGATTGTACACACACACACACGCATACACACACAATATGGCTACATGAAATATCCAGGAAAGCCAAATTTGTGAAGATCAAATTATCAGTAGTTTCCTTAGGCTGGGAATGCAGACTGACTGCAAAATGGCTGTAGGTATTTCCTTTCCTTTCTTTTTTCCTTTTTTTTAGGGGCAGGATAATCAAAGTATTCTAAAATTAGATTACGTTGATGGTGGCAGAGATCTATAAATTTACTAAAAATTATTAAATTGCACATTTACAATGGAATAGCAAGTAGCAAATGGGTGAATTTTACAGATTAAAAACTTTACATTAGTAAAGCTGGTTTTAAAAAGCTATGGCATTGGGACCAACGGCTATGTCGCTGGACTCTCACGTAGTCGACCGCAATTTGAGTCCCAGACCTGGTGGCTTAAACTCACGCTGGGCGTGTGTGCGTGCATGCCCAGAATCCCGAGAGGAGAGTGGAGGAGAAGGCATTGCGGTGTGGCCATACCCCCTGGGGGGGTGATTTTTTGCTTTCTATCTCTCTATCTCTCTCTGAAAAAAAAAAATAGCTAAGGCATTCACTCTACACAAAGAACCAAGTTTAACTGAAAAATATTACAAACCTTCCAATTAAATCTGTTCCATTTGAATACCATTAAACATTTGGGGGAAAAACTGTATAAAATCCTAGCTGATCTATTCTTACCAAATCTGCTTTGTGAATCTAGCCTATTGCTTCAAGAAATAGGCCACTGTAACACGTCAATTAATGTAATTTGAGCAGCATCAAGCATGAGCTGAATTGATAACAAGACAATCACTTGTATTCCTGAAGTTAAATTTTAAATTTGATTTTAAACACTCAGATGAAAGAGGATAGCATAGAAATAGTACTATTAAATGTAGAAAAAGTAAACTCTCCAATCATTTTTTTAACAGTAAAAATAAAAAATGTAAGATTTAATTTTAGAGCTTCAGTGACTATATGACATGAATGAATGCTTCACTGAACCAGGTCCATGATTTCAATGAAAGAAACTTTTGACTCAAACATTAAAAGCTTTCTGTACAAAACTACCATCATCTGAAATTGTGATATTTTGCTGTTTGAAACAAAGTAGTTATTGTACTGCATTATTTTTTCCCCGTTGCATGTGATATGTAATACAGCACTTACCCTGCTCTCTTCTAGGCTATCAAATGGACCTGGTGGATCATCCAGACAAAGAAATTCTCTCACTGCAAGGCTTTTCAAAAGAAAAAAAATTAGCTAGAGTACAGATGAGTTTATAAAAGACAACAACAAGCAAGAGTTACTTAGAGGCCAGACAGCATTTTAAGGAAGTAGGTTTAGCTGTTAATACCAAAATCAGCAAACTGTTTATGTATTCACACAAGTAACCAAATACAAATGCAAAGCTATGAAAGATACATGATAACTACTTTCTAAGATCTTAAGGACATAAACAGACATCATGAGTTCACTGTTACAAACTACAGGACATAATTCAGAGTAACAGTAGAGGAGACCCACCTAAACAGTGACTAGCCTGACTTGAAAGAAATAATCGTCTGAGTTAGTCTAACAAAGCCATTATCCTGTTATGAATAAATACAATTAATAATTTATACTTCACTTATTTCTCCTTCAGTGGATACTTCTAAAGTAACTGAAAAGCATTTATTCTGAAACAAGTTAAAGATCGACCCTGCAATGATATTTATTGTATTTCCTTAACTATATCCTATAGACTACTTAAGAGGAAAAAATTCTGACCATCCCATTTCTGAATCACCACAAACCTGAAAGTAATAATGAAATAATATGGTGTTGATACACTTATACTTTGCAATGATCAGAAATAGGCTACAAGGGTTGATAATGAAATTTCCTTAAAATACTAGATTGTCGGGCAAGTTATGACATATATTTCTATGCAAAAATGCTGCATGACTTCCCCAACCACCTAATAAAAATCCAGCCTGGCTTTTCTAAAAAGCAATTTTAGACTGAGATGATTTTCTATATGATGGTTAAAGTATAAATGTGAAGACTTAATTTTATTTTTTTGAGTATTTTGTAAAAAGACAAGAATATATTTTCTTGACATGTTACAGAAAGATGTCACCCTATGCTGAAAGAGAACGGGGCTTAGAGGGTCAGATGGATCAGAGAGGTTGAATATGATTTTTTAGTGAAATCAGTCTAAAGGAAAAACCAATATGAATTAATATAGAAGAGTGGCCTAAAGAAAATAATGCAGAAGATTCCCCCAAACACAACAAAAGTGGGTGGTGATTTACCCTGAAGAGCAGAATTTCTGGATTATAAAATCCTGACAGTATAGGTAAAAAAGGACACACATTCAGAGAAAAGGACACACCTTGGGGAAACTGAGAAGAGCTCATGGAACAGTACACGGAAAGGATCATAAATGTGACCTACTGAACCATCTAGAGTATGGTTTTTATCTCATTAACCTGTTCACGCAAGGGTACTAACCACACTTAAAGTAAACCATCTTGTGTTTGAATGTTGCTGAAAATTAGAAAATTATTTCTTTTACTGATTGGAATTTTTCTCCTTGTAGTTTATGAGTCTTAGTTTTTTTATTTTGGGGGTCATCTACAGTAACCTTATTATCTCCAAGAAACAACACTATTATAATACACTGACATTTTCATAGTATTCGACACATTACACCCATGGGACTTTCACACAGTGTATTTTACTTAACTTTCACAATAACCATGTGAAGGAGGACAAACCCTTACTTCTTCTTCCTAATTTGTTCACTGGTAGACTTAATTTCCTAATCTCTGTTCTTTGTTCAATCTTGAATACTTTTGCTTCCATTCTCCTTCAACAGTGAATAGGTATGAAAAACATCAGAGTAAAAGAGAAACTAAGATAATCCAACAGTGTTGAATTGCTTTCCATTTCTTTTGTTACCTGGAATACCTCGTTAGTATGTTGGAAAATGCTATTTTAAAATTGGAATTAGTCATGAACTTAAATTACTGGAAGATAAGATCATAGGTGGTACTGGCATAAAGCACCTGCCTACAAGCCAGGTTTCAGCTCCCCGTCGATGGCACTCCATCTATTCTTGTGCCCACTGCACCCTCTCAGGCTTCCACGCGTGCTTGCTGCTATTACCTGGTCCTGCCTTCCCATCTCCCCTGGCCCACTCTGACTCATACTCCATGACTGTCTTATCTGTTACCTGCTTGTGACCACCTCCCCTTAGGAAACCCTCTTTGCCTCTCCTTACTATAATAGGTTCAGTGTTCTTCCAAGTATTACCACAGCACCTCGAAGAGATCCCTTCTGTAGGACTTACTATGCAGTGTCAGCATTACGTTGAAACCTACTAGAAAGCCCAAGTCCTCAGCCCAGACCAGTTAAATCAGGGTCAGTAATTTTTTTTTTTTTGAGAGGTTTTTGCTATAGGGCACGTGTGCATGCCAGACAGAGAGAGACAGAGAGACAGAAAACGAGAAATCACCCCCCAGGGGGCATGGCCACGCCACAATCCCTTATCCTCCATTCTCCTCTCGGGATCTTGGGCACGCATGTACACGTGCCCGGCGTGAGTTTAAGCCACCGAGTCCAGGACTTGAACTGAGGTGACTACATGGGAGTCCAGCGACATAGGCATTACACTAACTGCTGGTCCCCAGGGTCAGTATTAACAAGATTCCCAGGTGACTCACACTACAGCTGGAGAAGCACTACTCTAAAGCTAAGTAGATTTGATTAGTTCTCCTCCCCATCACAATCTTTCAAATATATGAAGATGGCTATCATATATTCCTCAAGTAATTTTCCTTTTTAAAGGGTAAATATTCTCATTTTTCAATTGTTCCTTATGTAAATGTTTGATAATTATTTTTTTTAATCATACAATATTGTTAACCCAATAGACCCTGAACTTTTTTTTTTTAAATCCAGAATTAAAACAATGAATTTTGGGGGCCAGCACTTAGCGTAATGGCTATGTCACTGAATTCCCATCTAGTGGACTGTGGTTCAAGTCCCGGACCCGGTGGCTTAAACTCACGCAGGGCGTGTGTGCATTCGTGCCCAAGATCCTGAGAGGAGAATGGAGGAGAAGGGACTGCGATGTGGCCATCTCCCCTGAGGGGTGATTTCTTGCTTTCTGTCTCTGTCTCTGTCCTTCTGGCGAATGCATGCTCCCTAGAGCAAAAACCTCTCCCTGGCCCAAAAAAAAAAAAAAAAAAAAAAAATTACTACCTTCAAATAGCCAAATAACCATTTGATATGCACTGTTTATACATTGTTTATTAACTGTTCTTTCACTTTCCTTTCTTAAATCTTTATCACTGTACAATAGTTACTTCTTAATCTTCATGGCTAAGAGCTCACCATTAACACACGGGCAGCTCATAATGTTACAACTTCTCCAACTATAGCAAAACAGAAGTAGAAAAAAATAAGACCTGAAGGGATATTAATGACTGTTGACTGGACCGTGTTTAGATACACTGAGAAAATACAAAGTAAAGAAACAGATAAAAATGTTGATTTTCCATGATAAAACAATTTAGTAGAGATCTTACCTGCTTAATAAATACTTAAAGATTACTGTATGAAAGGAGTTGTGATAACACAAAAAATGAGTTAGGTGCTACTCTTGTTTTCAAAACAAACTTAGTAAGATTTGTCTCCCAAAACTATAATGGACAGAGTTAGATTTTTTTCAGAAGAGGAAAGAATGTATTTTAGGTTTTTTTCGTTTGTTTTGGTTTTTAGGTTTTCGCCACAGAGCATGTACGCTCACTAGAGACAGAGAGAGGGGAAGTGAGAAATAACCTTCCTGAGTGGGGGGATGGTCATGCCACAGTCCCTTCTCCTTTCTCCTCTTGGGAATTTGGAGGTGCACACACAGAAGCCCCACATGAGTTTCAAAGCCACTGGGTCTGGGACTTGAACTGTAGTTCAGACATGTGGGAGTCCAGTGCCTTCACCACCACTCCACCTGCTGACCACAAGAGAGAGAATTTCTGATTGAAGAATTAGAGAAGGCTCCTCGGAGGACAGTATTTGAGCTGAACTTTAAAAATCAGTGATATTTGGACCCTCAAAGAGAAGTGCAGAAGGGCTTTCCAGATGAGAGAGAATATCATAAAAAGACTTATACCAGGAACAGCATCTGAGTCAGTCTGTAAAGGTGAAGGATCTGTAAATATAGTCTTTTATTGCACAATATCACAGTTAAAGTGTAGAAATTTTGTATTTTCTTGTGCTACTTAGAAATCGTTACATCATTAATCAGTACAGCAAACAGTTTACTATTTTTCAGAAGTATATGGCCTAGTTACTTATTTATAGCATATAACCTATTTACCAAGTTTTTCTTACTTTTTATTTCTTTAAAATGACATAGCTATTACTCTAACTGCTGGTCCCTAAAGGTAGTAATTTTTCTTTTCTTTTTTCTTTGAGAGGTTTTTGCTATAGGGCGCGTGCGTTCGCCAGACAGACAGAGAGAGACAGAGAGACAGAAAGCGAGAAATCACTCCCCAGGGGTGATGACCACACTGCAATCCCTTCTCCTCCATTCTCCTCTCAGGATCTTGGGTATGCACACACACATGCCTGGCTTGAGTTTTAAGCCATTGGGTTCGGGACGCGAACCGCGGTCGACTACGTGGGAGTCCAGCGACATAGCCATTACGCTAACTGCTGGTCCCCAGGTAGTAATTTTTCTATGCTATCATTCCAACTGTCAACCTGATGTTAGCAAGCATCTCAACAGGTGATGGACAATTAACTGATGTTTTACATAGTGATTTTTCTTTCCTACTAGAGGGTAAGTGTACTTCCCAGAGACAGACAGAGAGAAGGGGAGAGGGAGAATGTATCCCCCGATGGGATGTGGTCATGCTACAATCCCTTCACTGCCATTTCTCTGTCAGGATTTAGAGCATGAATGTACACACACCAATGCGTTTTTCAAGCTGCTGGGGTCAGGATTCAACAACCATCATCCATATGGGTTCCAGTTCCCTTTAACCACTACGCTACGAGTCCTGCCCTATGCATTTATTCTGAAACACATTTTATATTTTCATAAAGATGTGTTGAGCATTTTGTCTTTCCCCTTCTTTCCCTTAGAGAGATTTCAAGCGTCGGTCTGGTAAGGTACCTATGACCCCAACTAGAATTTGAATTTTGACTGTAAATACCGTTAAATCCCTGGCTGTGGAGTGCAACAGTAACAAGAATACTGTAGAGCACTGCAGCAGTTCAGTCCCTGGCATGTGAGAATTAGATATGTATTCATTTTACAGAATACACAGTAACAGGGGTAAAGGTATATAATAAAAGAAAAAAAAAACAAAGAAAGTACTATGTAGATTTTAATGAATCAACCTTCAATTTATAGATAGCTATTTGGAAACCAGACTTTCTATGTATCTTCTAATCATTTGTTTCTGACTTATATCTACCTATCCATAATCTTAATCCAGCCTTCCAGGCTCTCAAATCCTATTTCCAGTATTGCTTAATTATTAGAAACAGACAGATTTTTCCCTACTCCGAGTTCCTGTCATTTTTATAATGTGTACCATATCAAGTAGCAACTGATTAATCCCATTTTGTTCAATAAGAAGCTAATTTCTCCAAATGAATTTTAAGACCAGTGAATATATCAAAGCTTCTTTCATATCCTTCTTCTTATGATATTGGACAAAAGCTTAAGATACTCCCTCCCCCAACTCATATTTTGAACAATAGATCATTAAGAAACCTCTTACATTGTGGAATTAAAATGCTACCACTTATCCATCAAGAAGACAGTGGGTGTCTACAATCAACAAGGAATAATTTATCTTCTTGTAGTTCTTAAATGTGTCATAATGTGGTATGTGGAAAGTGGGTAGGCAAAGGAATGCTAGGCATGATGCATTCTTTAGAACCTAAGAATACCTAATGAAACTGTTCTCCAACTTATTTGGTCAACAAATTTTTCTTTCTCTGAAATGCTGAGCAAGACCACCCAACTGTTCTGAGGTATGCAGTTTGAGAGACGACATGCCTCTGGTAATGTTTACCTTACTACCATCTATTATCAGTAAATAAAAATAAAGATGCATCTGAATATGTCAACTAAGAAATATTTACTCAGCTCTAAGAGTCCTCTAGGGTATGGTATAAACTATATTTTCTTTAAAGGCTTTTTCTGTGACTTTAGTTTTTGTTGGTTTTTATTCTTGCTTTGTGGGTCTAAGTCAACACTATCTTTTTTTCTTTTGAGAAATGTTGAAAAAATATGTAGAAAAGTAGGGAGCATTTGTGTTCCTATAATCTAGGCCACACAATTGCTGACTCTGTCACATTTGCGTCAATATTTTTTTCTTAACAAATGACACAAGAGTAAATATTAACAGTTGTGTCATTCATTCAAGAAGTACTTACTGAGAGCTGTTAGTGCTGTACTAAGCAATGGACACTGAATGGTGAATAAAACTCACACATGACCTGTATCATAGAATTTGGTGGGAGAAATGATCAAATAATCACAGATATAATCATAAACTGAAATGCTGTGAAAGTAAAGTACCACTTAGCCTTTCTGAACTGAGGTTCCATGAGAGAATTAAACCCTAGTGATAAATGATTTAAGTGATTATTTTATTAACTGTTTTAAGACTGGTATATAGTTAGTATCTTACTAGAGGTAGAGGAGGGAAATGAGTTCATTACATACAATGGTTGTCTTAAAGAATTAGGAGTTGATTATCAGAACGCCTGAGAAGGACTACTATAGACACTGTGAAAAAGGACTGACTTCGCCTTTGGTTGTGAGTGAGGGGGTGGTCAGGAAAGATGTTACCTAAGAAAGTGAAGCCTGTGCTGAAATCTGAAGGAAATATAGGGTTACCTAAGCCAGGGCTGATGGGGCAGCAGGATGAGGTGTTGTCTTTCTAGGAAACAGCATATTTAGGAAAGAACAAAATCTGTGCTTGAGAAGACTGGCAGGTAAAAAGGGACCAGAGGCATGACCGAGTCGAATGGCATCACAAGAGACTACTGTGGCTCTAATGGGCTACAGAAATAAGAGTACATGAGGGTGACCGGGTGATCAGCAGG